GGTGAGGCCAGTAAGGGAGTAAAATTTTACCGTCTCTTTGAGCAGAGTCTCTTTATGTGTTCAATTTTTTGTCCACGTTTAATCTAGGCTTAATCTGGTCTGAGTACCGTCGGAATTTTTATACATGCGGTTGGTTTTGTGGTGTTTGTAGGCTGCGTTGGTTAGTTTAAGCTTACTTATAATTCTTTCCAACAGGTTTAAAGGAAAGTTTGAAACGCGTGAAACAAGTTAAATTTTGAAACTTGAAATTCATTTTCTGAACAACTCTACGCGGACGAGTTGTGCAAGTTTGGCGGAAAGAGTGTATGAAATAGCGCGAGTAAAGAGGCTATTTAAAAATTGACAAAAGAAGCTCACATAAAAAGGTTAGTTTCCTTGTAATTTATGTTCATTTTATTGAATTACTGCTTTGAATTGCTAGAATTTTACTACAGAGTTACTAATTTATTGCATTCGTGATAAAATTTACTGCTTTGATTGATTAATTTCATTAATGTGGTTTATAGAGATAGTTTTATCAAGAACACAGTTGGTTATAATTACTAGTTTTAAAATGGTTCCACCCATCCGGGATTTAGAGAGTTTTTAGTTCTCAGAGTGTTTATTGCAGTGAAGGATGGATGGAGAGATTTTGGGGTAGTTTTTTTTGAGCGGTTGGAGCAGTGACTGCGTGAAAGAAGAAGAGTTTAGTTGTTTTTGTAGAGAGAAGAAGAGCAGTTGTTCGTGTTCCAGAAATCTGTCTCGGTCTCGATGCAATGATGAGTCGATTTCCTTAAGCTTGGAGCGAGACTACGTGCAACATGAAGTTTGATTTTTCTGTGTGAAAAGCCAAGTGACTAGGATCTGTATGTGAGATCAACATCGAGTTGGCCATTGTTATTCTTCAATGGATTCCTTTGCTGCGATGTTGGGTCCATACTGCAAATCCTGCGGGGATTGTGAATACGACAACAAACCAATCGACTTATCACTCCAAAGTCGGAATGTCGTCGAATTTTCATCTCCCATTGCTGCCCGTTCCATTTGCTCTAAGAAAATTTTTAAATTGCATATTAAATCTATATCTTGATAGTGAGATCAATTTTAGTTATGATGTTCTATTAGTTATTTTCTCAAAAGCGTTTTTATTTAGTTTCGGTTATTTTGAAGAATTGCTCAACCTAGAGCAACTCTCGTCAAAAGTATAATGTGGGTCATAAGCGTGGTTGTAGCGGTGGGTTAGGCTGGCTATAGAGCATGCTCAGGACGTGATGGGTGGTGAGGCCAGTAAGGGAGTAAAATTTTACCGTCTCTTTGAGCAGAGTCTCTTTATGTGTTCAATTTTTTGTCCACGTTTAATCTAGGCTTAATCTGGTCTGAGTACCGTCGGAATTTTTATACATGCGGTTGGTTTTGTGGTGTTTGTAGGCTGCGTTGGTTAGTTTAAGCTTACTTATAATTCTTTCCAACAGGTTACTTATAATTCTTTCCAACCACATTACTGCAAATAATGTGGTTTATAGAGATAGTTTTATCAAGAACACAGTTGGTTATAATAACTAGTTTTAAAAT